CACACCCCTTGAATGATTCACCCCTCCTGTAAAATCACTAATTGTAACTTCAGTATGCACTAAATCATCAAGAGACTTGCCTATTTTGTAGAGCATGCAAGTTGGAAGGACATTGACTGCAGCTCCATTATCCACCAAGACACGGCTGATTGGAGTCCCATCCATGTGAGCATTGATATAAAATGGCCTAATGTGTCTGGCCATCTTTTCTTCTGGTTTTTCAAACACAATTTTGTCAGCCATGTCCTCCTCTTCATCATCCTGAGCTGGAACAACAATTACCTCTTCTTCTGTCTATTATGGGAACTCACAGACGATTGGTTCCTCCTCCTTCTTGGCTTGGAAAACCAAGGGTAATGTCAGCACCAAACATGACAAATTCACTGAGAATTCCTCAAAATGAATAGTGCCATCTTCTTTTGATTCAGATCCACGATTCCTAGACTGTTCTGGTGCTTCAAAAGTTGCTTTCAAAACTTCGTCTGGACTCACAATGATAGACGCCACCTTTGGAGAAGCTGAAGATTGGTCATCTTCCTTCTGTAGAGTCTGGGTTACAGCCTCCTTTTTCTCTTTTCTCACCCAGACCATATTCCTTTTGGTAGGTTGGCGTGGTCTGCGAGATGAACTTCCCTCAGCCTCCACCTGCTTTTGTTGCCTTTTTCGTTCTTCAGCCCTTTTGCGCTGCAGTCTGCGCCTCAAGGTTCTGGGATTTTGGGCTGGAAACTTGGGATGACTAATTTTCTCCCACCATCTCAAAGGTGACCTGAGTGGCAGTTTGACCATCCTTGGAGATCTAGTACCAGTTGAATAACGTCTGACACCTTCTGGACTGAAGTTCCTGGTCACAGTGATCCTTTCTTGCCCCCCGAGCCTCTGCTGGTCTGACCTGACGCTCCTGCTATGTCTGGATCTCTGCGCCTTAAGAACCCACCTTAAGTCTTCTGCAGCAAGGTTCCTTTGAGCATAAGGCAGACTACGATTTCTGGCAACACTCTTGAGGTCTGCAACATTCACGCCCACAGACACAGCTGGAAAAGGATCTGCATCCACTCCCATGTTTCCTTCGCTTTGTCTGGAAATTTCAAGATATCCTTATCAATCTTTTCCAATGGCCTCAAGGCTGGCCCATGGTCTCTATTGAAGAATTGAACTGGTGGATTCTGCAGACCGCGTTGTACCGGCTGGGCTGGAGGAACTTGTGGCCGGAAAAAGTCCCTTGGATGGTGTTGATGATGATGAACCACATTTCCCTTCCTAGCTGGTGGAATATACCTATACTGAGGTTGATGGCCATGGTCTGCAACAGGAGCAGCAGTCTCCATTGGTTCATGTTGTCTTTGTCCTTCACCCATGAAGAAATTCTGCTGTTGAATATTGGGATGAGGCTGATTCCCTTGCCCCCCGAGTGCTGGGATTGGGGCTTCCTGAATTTGTTTGGCCATTTGAACGACTGGAGGAAGGATCTCAGGTCTGGGTTGTCGCACTTGCTCAACCACTTGTTTTGAAACAGCCTGTAGTGTTCTGCGACTTTCTTCGCCAGTTTCTCGCATCACCCTAGTGCTTTCTTCAAAGACCCGTCTCATCTCTTCTATACATTATCTAATTAACTTTTCCTGACGTTTGGAGGATTCTGCTTGACTGTCAACAAGTCTCCGCATAGCCTGGTTTTGTTCTTTGAATACTAAATCCAGACGTTCAGTCATACTTCTAAACACATTACTTGATTCAGCAAAGTCATCTCTACGGTCTGCATCCCTTTCCTTGAAAATTGGATTACCATAAGATCGCTCCACGAAGGGTGATAAGAAAGGAGGAACAACTGGATCATTCTCACCCTCTGAGTAAACTAGACTGTCATATGCATGTTCAGCCTGGGCTGGCTGAACCTCTTTATCTTTGCTTTTTCTCGGTGGCATGGCTCCAGACGCCTCTGAATGTATGAACAGAGGATTTGTGAACTGTAATTGATACATCCTGCTGGTTGTCCCACTGGGCGTGCCAACAAAGGATTGTTTCCTCAAAAATCCTCAGCCG